CCGCAGGGGAGCAGGGATTTTCCACCCGCCTGTAGGCTGTAGAAGCCTCGGCTGACACTGCACAAAGCTGTCGGTGCTCCTGCGGGACAGCAGTGAAGTGGTTTCACATCACACTGGGGTTCTCTGGGCTAATTACCAGCCTCAGACCTCCAGAGTATCCCAGTGTGTGCAGTTAAAATACATCCTAACGTGTTTTTACCAGCAAAACCCCGGTATCATACTTAGCTTCAAAGATTAGGTGTTAAATATTCAAATGTTAAATTTAAAATAAAACCTAAGGAGTGTTTTCTGGTTGCTTTTCAGTTTTATCTGTTTCTGTGCTTCTTAATTCAGTTTGAAAGGGAGGGGGACAGAAGAAAAATGACTTTTGGAAAGCTGGGTTCAATGCTTTAAAACAAGAGGTACTACTTACTGATTTCAGGAATACTTGCCTTAATATAAATAATGACTTGAAATTGTGTTGGTCGAATTCTTGGATCTAGATTTTAAAAGTTAGATATTTTTAATTCCTCCTTTGCCATTAAAGTGACTTTTTCATTTCTGTGTGATGATTATGATCATGAAGATGGTTATACAGACCCCTTACTCATCTGAGTAACCTCACAGCATCTATTGTGAAATACAAACATGACAAAATAATGCAACACATTCATAGCTGCTGTCATTAAAAATTGTATGTAACCAGTAAGAAACTGGAATCAGACTGCATGCACAGAAAGGGTCTGGAGGGGAAAAATCCAAAGGAATTAAGTATTTCTGCCTATGTCATGGTTTTAAGCTCATGGTAGCTGACTGGTAATAGTTTTTTGCTATGTAAAGAGGCATTCTGTGGACACTGCATCCAAGAATTAACAGCTTAATGTGTGGAAAAAGGTAACTTGGGCTGGTACAAAGGACAGTCTAGGCTGATCAATAAGGCACTGTGGAATGACTTCATGGCCAGCAGCAAGCCACAGGGCTGCCATCCCTCTGTTGGGGTTATTACCTTCTGCTCCAGAAATAGTGAATTTCACATATTGTGAAGAAAAATAGGCCATTTCTCAATGAGGAAGGGGGGAAAAAGGAAAACTCATGAGGAGGCACAGACAGAAGTTTGTGTGTGTGAGGAAACGTCAGCAGAGGATGTGGTAGGAAGAAAAAGGTTGGTAACAGAACTAGAAAAAGAGGAAGAAGTGGGGTCAGGCAGACCTGGGAAGCTCTAGTTTTAAGTAAACGTCCTGCTTCTCTGTATGAAGATGGTGTTAGGTGACCTCGAGATGGTCTTTCTCAGCACTCTGTTTCTTGTCTTCAAAAAAAGTGCAATAAAGCATTTGATTTCTCATCTGCCAACCAAACTTGCCCCCTTATCTGCTGAATGCCAATGAAAGATATTAATTCTCATTGCTAGGACAATTTATCACATCAAATCTGGTGTCAAAGATGATGAATTTCACAGTACACGTAACAAAATTCCTTCGGCAGTGCATCCTCCCAGATGGCTGCTCCTAAGCTGATCTTTTTATTCTTTAGATAAAACCAATGTAATAATAAATTATTGTAATTTATTATGTATTTCCCCCATAAAATCATAGAGTTGTTTTGATTCAAAGAGATCTTTACGACATTGTGTTAGCCATTGTCTTGTGTGGAAAGGACAATCTACATCACCACTAACTAAAACTGACCCTCAAATACATGCTTTCATCACAGCCACATTTTCTGTTTGCACATTCTGTTGAAGACCTAGTTCTGATTTGTGTTAAAATGTGTTGGTTTTTTTTCCCAGAAGTACCCACTCCACAGTTTTATACAACCTTTTTTTTGAGTTTATACAACCAAGTGTCTTGTTCAGAAGCATAAAAACCACTGCTAGCAACTTCTGCAGATTTTACACTCCATTTAGAATCAAAAAGTGCTTCTCTTGAAAAATACACAGAAATTATGGACTACATAATGATTATAACATTTTTTTATTACTATTATCTATGATAAAATTATTTTATATGTAAATTGTTAACATCACAAAAGTCTTGAGACAGTACAGAGCAAAACTTCCCATCTGATTTTTTTTGACAATTCCCCAGTCTACTGAAAACTGCATTAACATTTAGTTTTTACAAATAAATCAACACAGTTCTAAATACCTAAGATGTCACAATATTTAAAATTACAATATAAGTTTCAAATATTTAATCCAAGTAGTGTTAAAAGGCTACTGTCAAACTCTTATGACTTGTTTGGTAACTCTTAACAAAAATGGTCAGATACTTAAGAAGTATCAATTTACCTAGTAGTGAATTTCTTGTAATACAAAAATAATTTCAAACCCCTCAAAAACTACCTTCGACTGGATTATAGCAGCAGTTCACTAACATGCCCCATTTTGGGTCATGTTCACATAAAGTTCACTTTTGAGTACAGGAAATTATTCCTTAGATTTTGGTCAAGGAAAAAACCCAGGTAATTGCTGTTATCTACATGCACTTCATGGACTTAAGCAGAGGTTGACAGGGCATTTTGACATTGAAGTGGACATTTAAGGATCTCGTGGGTGATGCTGAGCACAGATTTAAACACAAATGATAGAGGAGATCTTTCCTTATGAACAGGCATGCCTGTGAGCCTTCTCCTAGGTTTTACAACACAGCAAAATCTGGCTACAGGGCTTCTAATATTGGCTCAAAGAAACAAACCAGTAGTGATGTAACAGAAAGCACTAGTTCAATGTGATCTAACTCACCTAACAACCATTTTTGAGTGGCTGGCAGCCACACTGGCAGGCTTTGTGACAGAAGAGGTCTCTCTGTCCTCGTTCTCACAAGGGGTTGCCCCAGCACTCCTATGGCCTTCACAAGAGTGTGGAGCAAGCAAGATGATCTCTGGGGTGACACCACAGATGGCTGATCTGATGGAATCCAGCTGCTGGGTAACCTGTGCCACCATGGGCTCATCTGAGAACTGGTACAACCTTCAGTGCTCTGAATTTATTCAGCCATTCTGACTTTCTCACCTGCCACCTCAGGTCCATGATTGCCCACTGTGAACCCTTGGCTATCAAGAACAGTGTCTGGACCACTGTGTAAACAGCAGCATGCATCAGCAGGCTCAAAAGGAACATCACACCGTGGAGTTTGTTCTGGGCCTCTTCACTCAGTGGCTTTGTTTCTGCCCAGGCAGATCTCTTGTGTGTCTTCCCCTGGCCAAAGGAGGCCAAGATAACAAGCTCTTGGCTCCCTTTGTGGTGGAACTCTACTCGCTGGTTAAACACCCCTCATGTCGTACACCCACATACCTGGATTTCTCAAAAACAAGAGAGCAACAGCAGCTCTTCCAAGTGCTGCATTGCTGCAGCTGTCCTCCCCACTCAGGATTCTGCTTCAGCTTGGAGAGAGGCACTGCTAACAAGAACGAGGCACATCACAACCTATCAGTGCAAATCCCAGTGAGGAATATAGTCAAAGAGTTAAAGGCAGGAGTGCAAAGGAGAAAAACATTACATAAAACACCTTCCTTTCTCATTTTCAGTCAGAGATGCTTTCTGTGTCGCAACTGTTTTTTTTCACCAGAATCCACACCTCTCAAGAAGGCTGTCAACTCCCACTCTCCCATGCCCTGGACAGAGCCCAGACTTTGGCTCCCTTTCTGTTGGGTATGGTGAGAGGAGGGAAGAAGCTTCCCCATAAATGAAAGCCAAGAAAATAAACTCCACTACAATTTGGGAAAAGCATTTGCACTCTTTCTAGGAAAGTATATATGTCTATATACAAAAATAACACCAGATAGTGTGTTTTTAAAAAAGTTAAATATCTATAGACACTGTTAGAGTAATTACACAAATGCTAATGATTTAAACAGCCTTTAAATATCACACATTCCATTTTCATAAGCAAGTTGCAATGTCTTTTAGCATTTCTCAGTTTCATCTGCTCCTGGAACAGACTCAAATGCAATGCACTTTAGTTTTAATAAAAATGACACACAGCAAGCACATTGCAAGCAATCAGTAAATGGTTCAAGTCACATTCACTTTGTGATAACAAGTTATTGGCTGTTAATTCAGCACCTGCAGCAAGGTAATGTTGAAGCCTCCACCCTTTGCCTACCACAGAGCATTCATTAACAACCCATGTAGTCACATAAAAACACTCTTAATCACAAGTAAAATCTTTAAGCTTGTCACAGTTGAGTTCCCTTGAGTTTACAGAACATACTCTGTAAATAATCAGAAAAAAAACCCCAACAAACCAAAACAACGGATCAAGCAAGGTCTCAATCCACTCTGCACAGGCTACTCTAGCACATTAATTAGTTATGTCACAAATCCTCTAACTCCTATCTTGCACAGCCACAAGCAAAACAGTTCCCCAGCTGACATTGAGAGCACTTGTTCTTGCTCCTGTGCTGTGGTGCACGTGCTCCCCACACCACGTTGGGAAGCACGAGAGCCTCGGCAGCCCGTCTGCTGTTGGATCTGCATCAGAAGCTTTTTGGGTGAGCTGATGTATCTGTGCCTTCCAGTTTGGAAGTTTGGTCTGTAGCATTTCCCTGTGTCAGTGCATCCTAAAGAAACTGCCCCACGGCTCCTCTGCAGAGGAGCAGGAGGTGACAGCATGGTGCAGCAGACACCCAGTGGCAGGTGACAAAGCCCAAGCAGGAGCGGAGTGAATAGGACAGGCCTAGTGCTACATCAGTAAGGTTTCAGGCAAGAAGGTAAAACCTTCATTTTGGCATATAAGCATCTGTCAGAATGGTAACAAAAATAAAACACTGTATTTCAATCACAGGATGTGTACAAACACACCCAGAAAAACAAACAGAAATAAAAATGGCCACTTTGGCTAAGGCTACTAGCTTATGTACTTGTTATAAAAATAGGAATAACCTAGGCAAAAATAGGCATAATTTTTGCAACTTAGCTGTATCAATCGCCAGCTTTTCACTACTGCACACGGGTGTTGCTTGTATCAACACTTTCACAGGCCACTTGGACTCTCAGCAGGGAAGGGATGACACAAAACGCACTACGAAGAGACTCTGGAATTTGTAACGCGGAGTGCTACGCTGGCGATGGACCTCATGGCACAAGCAGAAACCTTGTGGCAAAATCCAGCTTGAGAAATGTAGTTGGAAGCTAGCCCATACAGCCTTTCTGCCCCAAATATGTTGAAGTGCCCCGGCAGGACCTTCTCCACGAGGCCTCTGTCCACTAACCCCAGGAGCCGCTGGCAGCTCGCCACGTAGTCGCTGACGTTGCTGTAGGGCAGCCAGTCGATCATGGCTCCGTCGTACACCACGTCGCCGCTGAACAAGATCCTCCTGTCCTGGTCGTGCAAGCAGATGCTGCCTCTGGAGTGGCCTGGCATGTGCATGACAGTGAGCTGCCGGTCCCCAAGGCTGATCACATCCCCTGCCAACAGAGGTGTCACAGGAAAACAGGCACTCACCACGGGAACTCGTCACCGCAGAGCACAACCTGACCCCGTGCTGACACCGCGCATCACAGAAGCACGGAATGGTTACGGGTGGGGGAGACCTTGAAGATCATCCAGTCCAAACACTCCCCCATCACTGCCAGGTCCCCACTGCCCCGTGTCCCTCACACCACATCTCCACGGCTTGGAAACCCCTCCAGGGGTGGGGACTCCACCACTGCCCTGGGCAGCCTGGCACAGCCCTGGACAACCCTTGTAGGGAAGAAGTTTTTCCTAATGTCCGACCTAAACTTGGGAGCAGAGCCCGACCCCCCCCTGGCTCCAGGCTCCTGTCAGGAGCTGTGCAGAGCCAGAAGGTCTCCCCTGAGCCTCCTTTGCTCCAGGCTCAGCACCCCCAGCTCCCTCAGCTGCTCCTCCCCACACTTGGGCTCTAAACCCCTCCCCAGCAGCTTCGTTGCCCTTCTCTGGCCACGGTCCAGCCCCTCAAGGTCCTTCTGGGAGTGAGCGGCCCAAAACTGAACACTGTACCCCATATCCAGAAACGTGGGAGCAGGACATTTATTTTCTTGGTGAGGTCCAAAGAGGCATCTGAAATACACACTTGACAAAAGGGTATTTTCAATGTTTGTAACAGGTAACTTGGCTTGGGCTACATTAAATGAATCTACTTCTACTCTAATAACCAAACAATATGAAAATGTGATAAAGCAAAGAAACCATGAAAAAAACAGAAGGTGTGTCTCCACTGAAAGTTTACAAAGTATTCCACAATTTACTATCATTTTACTCTGTTAGTTCACCTAGAATTGCACTGCTCTTACTTTTGAATGGCAAAAGGCCAGAATGTAAATGGCTGGAGGAGAACCAAGGCTGGCCTCCAGACACTTTCTTATCTGATTCACTCTGACACATAAAAATAGAACTTTCTAAACATTAGGTCATTTTTTTTTCCAGCTTAAATGTGAATGCCTTTTCATTCTACTAGCCACCTAACTGGTACTTTCAGCAGAAAGTCAGTCTAGGGATGCAGAACACACCAAGTCAGTGCGCTGTTGATTTTAAAGTGTAATGCCAGCTTCATTATAAATGTGCAAAGATCACTAATTTACAGGTGCTAAGCTTGTAAACTTTAGAGACGTGTAAGGAAAGAAGACTGAATATAAGCAACCTTCTCAGAAGCAGCTACTTAACAACTGCATTAAACAGTTCTAAAAGAATTAACATTCAGCACCATCATAAAATGATGCTTAAAGCTGTAACGTGCATTCCAAGTTCCAAGGAGAACAGGAAGAAAAAATTCCAAACCTCTACTGTATTAGGAATCTGAAGGTTTAGAGATCTGTCTCACACCAGACAGGCATGCCACAAATTTACTCAAAACTCAGCAAGCCTAAAGGTGCTTTTGAAAAGCACACATTTCATGACAGCATCTTTGTTATATATTTGAAAAGTGTTACAGAAAATGCCAGAGCACCTTTTGCAGGTCACAGAAGAGCCACATCTGACCGTGCTGCATCCGACAGGGGCATGGATCCCTATGTTTGCAGAAGCAGCTCGTCTTAAAATTATCCAAGACAATTTTTAGTAAAATTCTCTATCAGGCCAGTGTTATAAAGGAGTGTTGTGGTTTGAGGCTTGGAATGGGGGCGTGACCTTCCAGCAACTGGGAGGACCCCGGGTGGGGGTGAAACCATTGTATTCCCTCCCCTTCCCACACACACTCTGATAAGAGGCAGGGAGTGGTTTTTTGTTTCACTCCTGCCTTGGAGCTCGGAGAGGAAAGTTCTCCTTTCACTCCGTGGGACCCTGGAACCATTTCTGAGGGTTTTGTATATTTTATCTTTTGTATTATTCCCCTGGTCTTTATATATATTATTTTCCTTACCTCCCTTTTTCGTTTTCTGTTCCTTGTTGAACAATATACTTCATTTTTTTCTAAAAAGTGTCTCTCTCTCTCTCTATCGAGGGGGTGGGGGAGAGGCGAGTACACAGTTCTGTTCCGTGTGGGTCCTGCCCTGAACCCCTTTTTACACGGAACCAGGACAAGGAGAAATAAACAGATTTGACTATTGAGAAGATTGTGCAGAAAATGCCTATACGGCTGAATGAAATCACAGTGGAGATGGTGAAGTTAGTGCAGGAAAGTGGGTTCCCAACCACTCTGGGGACTGAAAAGAACACAAAGAAAGAGAACATGGCATCCAAAATTTGAGGAAGGGTACAAGCAGTACTGGCTATCCTCACCCACAGGAATGACACGTGCAGGGATGACAAGCCACTGCCATGCAGTACGTCCCAGTGGACGTTGTCTTACAAACTCTGATGTGGCTTTGACAGCCAGTGTATTTGACCATTTGCAAGATTATTTTTTAATGATTCCTCCCTTTAAAAGAAAAGAAGAAACCTTAAACTTCTGTTGATTGACTAGAGTTAAATGTCACATCAGACCTTCTCTGAAGCCTTCCTTAAGTTCAGTTCTGCTCTTCCAAGCACCTCTGTGCAAAGCCTGAAAAAACAAAGAAGAGACCAAGTCCCCTGCAAAAGATGTCACCTCTCCATCAGACAGCTACCCTCTAACTTCTGCTTCACCACGTTGTACAGTTAGGTTGCTTGTTGCAAAATAACCTAGTTATCATTACCCTTGAGAGACTAAGTGTAAGTTTTTTTTTCATTACAAGCCACTTCTGTAAATGCTACATTTACATAAATTCTGTAAGCTAAAATCCATATTATTTGCAGCACAGATTTCACTAAATTGGTTTGACAGCTTTGTCTTGGTTTGGTGTAAATGGAGCTCATTCTGCTCAGTGATTTTACTTTTGAGCTAAAGCTCTTCTAATTAACTGGTCTGTCTGAAGCTAGCAATGTTTTCATAAACTATCTGGCTGTAGCCGTGATAAGACTTCATGTTTAGAGTTTCTGCCAGGGACTGGTGTGCAGACCAAGGCCAGTGCTGAGCTTGTATCCCACATGGAGGGGGCAGGGAGCACCCCACACCTGCGGGGAGGAGCAGGCAGGATGACTGACCCCAGGATTCACCAATGGGGTGTTCCATCCCACAGCTGGCACATCCAGTAGAAGCTGGAGGATCAGGAGGGACAAGCCCTTCCCTTGCCCTTCTGTCCAGTTCTTCTGTCTGCTGCTGATCGTGTTGCAGTGGCCACATCCGAGGAGGAGTTCATCCATCCTGCCTTTGATCCCCAGCCCTGTGTTCCTGAACTGAGCTCCAGAATCCAGCTCCTGCACCCACTCACCCTCTGTGTCTGATTCCAGCCTGGGACCCTTCCCCGGGACTGCTCCCTGCCAGAGGTGAGTATTGCCATCGGGGGGAGCTGGGGTTGGGACTTTGTCTATATTGGTACATAATCTATTTTATTATCATTAGCACTATTATTATTACTGGTAGTATTGAAGCTCCTCCCCTTCTCCTTCCCTTTCCCCTTTCCCTTATTCCCTTTCTCCTTCCCTTTGAGGGCAGGGCAGGGGGTTAACAGAGAGTGTCTGTTAGGGTGCTGGGGGCTGCCCTGACCCCAAACCACAGCAGTAAACAGTAAGGGTGACTAGATGCCCAAACTGACTGACATGGTGACAAGCTGTCAGAAGCCTAAGGCTAAACCTGGTGTGCCCAATTAGTCAGTCACTACATTTACTGTTGAGTGATTCTTATTCTAAGGAAAACAAGTCCTGTACCAAAAGGCAAACAGACGAGGCAAGCACAGGGTATTCTACACATGTTTTTCAGTTCCTGACAATACTTTCAGAACAAAGAATTTAACCCATCACATTTAACACGCTAGGAAAAGGGATAATGGTGTTAAATTCAAAAAGGGTGGCCTTAGATCAGATGCAGGCAAGACACTCTTCACTATGAGGGTGGTAAGGCGCTGGAACAAGCTGCCCAGAGACAGACACTGTGGATGTCCCATCTCTGGATTTGTTCAAGGCCAGGTCCGATGGAGTTTTGAGCAACCTGGTCTAGTGGGAGGTGTCCCTGCCCATAGAAGGGGGTTGGAACTACATGATCTTTAAGGTCCCTTCCACCCCAAACCATTCTACAATCTGAATCTTTTTTGTCCTACCTTGAGGCTGTGGTTTGCTTGTACGTTCAGCAAAGCGGGTTGCAGAGATCAAATGCAAACAGAAAAGGTATCAGTTTAACTATTACATGAGGGGCTGCACATAGCAGTACACGAACAGAGGAAAGAAACATCACAGAACTACAGAATTATTTAGGTTGGAAGAAAACCTTAAGATCATCAAGCCCATCTGTTAAGCCAGCACTCCCAAGTCCACCACTAAAC